CACTCGATAGGTAAATAATATATTTTAGTACTGCAGAGAGACAATGTCAAAAGTTACTGGTTTAAAAAAATAAGATTATAGTTACTTAATAAACTTTTAAGGTATAAAATTCAGTGTTATTATAAAATATTTTGTTTTATCTATTCCTGTGCAATACTAAAAAAAATATTTGTACCTATAGTGGAGTAAAAACGATATGAAAATGTGTCGACATATTTTTTGGAGGTATAACTACATGATATCTACACAAGATTATCAGTTAGGGCTTTGCGCATGTGAAATGACTACTTACGACCTTTTTGGGGGGGTCAGACTTCAATCGATTAAAAAAAAGAGTATGTGAATAAGTTGATTAGTTTAGGAGTTATCGCGTAGGAAAGGTAAAAAAACATGGTTATACATTTTTGTCAGATTTTTGACATTTTCCCTGATAAAAAATTTCTGACCCCCCCAAAAAGGTCGTAATTAGTCATTTCACATGCACAAAGCCCTAACCGATCATTTCATAAAGATGTTATGTGGTTATACCTTCAAAATTTTTTTTTCGAGAAGGAAGCGACTTTTCTCAGTGATTTTACTCGACTACTACATAAGGTATAAATATAATAGTTGCAGGAAGTTTCTTGAAGATGGAAAGTAAGAAATAGATCTTTTTAATATTTTTTTTGGTACCTATGTGGTGTTTTGTTTAAAATACTCTCTTGTTTGTTCTGTATTAACACAGGCCTCATTTAAAAAAAACGACTCGGATTTGATTTTGTTCAGTTTTATAGAGTTTTTTAACAATATTTTGAAGCAACCACTTGTCACTCAAATTTTAAATATATTAATTTCATGCTATGCGATCCAATTTACTTTATTGCCAAGCACTTTATTGTACAGGGAAAGCCAACTTTTGGACCCTAGACAATTGTTTTATAAGCAACTGTCAATCCCATATGGTACAAAACTAACAACTTAAACCAAGAAAACAGACATAACATACAATACAACACACGACACAGATATAAACAACCGGTACCAAGAAAGTAAAAAGTTATTGGTCAGCGATGCTGTTCATTTATTGCACCACGAGTATTCAATCATCTACCAGAAAATCTAAAGATCGTTGACACTTTACGGCAATTCAAGGCTGGGCTTAACCAATGGCTGCAAAGCACACCCAGATCTGAGATTCATTTGCTCATAGACTATAAGAACAACTAAAATGTGACATATGTAGATTTTGTTTTTGTTTCTGTTTTTTATTTGTTTTAGTTTAGTCATAGGAAATTAATTAATTATTAGGTTATTTTATTTATTTATTATTTTTTTTGGATAGCAAACAAAGGTCAAATACACGAGTCAGAATTATTCGTGCAGGGACGGATAAACCCACGAGCAAGGAAACTTTTGTGGGGAAATGTTTGTTTCTGTACGATTATTTTGTCCTTAATGTTTAAAGCATTTGTAAACGATTGTTATACAGAAATAAACTTATTATTATTATATTATTATTATAATTGTATCAACTTATTTCTTTGTAAAATAAAATAAAGCAATTTGAAATTTTCGAATGACAGACACATCTATTACTGTCAAGGATTTTGTCGTTGGACAGACTATATTTATACTTAACTTAGGAACTTTAAAAAAATGAGGAACTTTTTTTCTGTCATTATCTGTCAAAATCTTCCCTGAGTCTTTGTACTTAACCAATGGCTGCAAAGCACACCCAGATCTGAGATTCATTTGCTCATGACTATAGGAATAACTAAATGTGACATATGTAGATTTTGTTTTTGTTTCTTTTTTTTTATTTGTTTTAGTTTAGTCATAGTCTAGGAAATTCATTAATTATTAGGTTATTTTATTTATTTATTATTTTTTTTTGCTACGGATTAAATTAGGATAGCAAACAAAAGTCAAATACACGAGTCAGAATTATTCGTGCAGGGACGGATAAACCCACGAGCAAGGAAACTTTTGTGGGGAAATGTTTGTTTCTGTACGATTATTTTGTCCTTAATGTTTAAAGCATTTGTAAACGATTGTTATACAGAAATAAACTTATTATTATTATATTATTATTATAATTGTATCAACTTATTTCTTTGTAAAATAAAATAAAGCAATTCGAAATTTTCGAATGACAGACACATCTATTACTGTCAAGGATTTTGTCGTTGGACAGACTATATTTATACTTAACTTAGGAACTTTAAAAAAATGAGGGACTTTTTTTTCTGTCATTATCTGTCAAAATCTTCCCTGAGTCTTTGTACTTAACCAATGGCTGCAAAGCACACCCAGATCTGAAATTCATTTGCTCATAGACTATAAGAACAACTAAATGTGACATATGTAGATTTTGTTTTTGTTTCTGTTTTTTATTTGTTTTAGTTTAGTCATAGTCTAGGAAATTAATTAATTATTAGGTTATTTTATTTATTTATTATTTTTTTTTGCTACGGATTAAATTAGGATAGCAAACAAAGGTCAAATACACGAGTCAGAATTATTCGTGCAGGGACGGATAAACCCACGAGCAAGGAAACTTTTGTGGGGAAATGTTTGTTTCTGTACGATTATTTTGTCCTTAATGTTTAAAGCATTTGTAAACGATTGTTATACAGAAATAAACTTATTATTATTATTATATTATTATTATAATTGTATCAACTTATTTCTTTGTAAAATAAAATAAAGCAATTTGAAATTTTCGAATGACAGACACATCTATTACTGTCAAGGATTTTGTCGTTGGACAGACTATATTTATACTTAACTTAGGAACTTTAAAAAAATGAGGGGCTTTTTTTTCTGTCACTATCTGTCAAAATCTTCCCTGAGTCTTTGTACTTATTAGTGATGTTTGCCCATCTCAATACGTATTGCTATGACAGATGTGCTTCATTCTACCCACATATCTAGTTAATATTTTATTATGATCTCACATCACAAAGCAAACCTATCGGTTTTAAATGACGAAACTACGAACAATAGCGAGACGGGAGCAGCAAAACGACGCCTCGTTCCTGCGTGCCGTGTCCGCAATTTGGCGGGCGCGGTCCGCCGGTTCGCCGGGAATGGGCGTGTCGGGCGTCGGCACCGTCGTCCGGACGACGCTTAGCGCCGGGACGCCCGTTTCCCGGACGACCAGCGTCGATCCGAGCGCTCCGCTTGCCATCACCGTGACTGTCACGGGCTGGAAGCCACCCCGTTGCCGGATTTACAAAATCTACTGCAGCGTGCAAAAAAATCATGATTTAAAAAAATCGATTTTATTTTTATTTTGATCGGATTTTTTTGATTGTAATCAATTTTCTATTTAACGTCCTATCCTAAATGGCTAAATCTTTGTAACTCTGCCCGATATTGACAATATTAACATTTCTAGGACAGGTGTCGTTTTTCCACATCGGTCACCGATATATTTTATTCTGTAAACTTTGCCGATGCCCTTATTTCCGCAAAAAATACTCGACCGCTTAGATCAAAGGAATTTTTTTTGGAAATAGTCATGACTGTCTTAAGTCGAGAATAAAATTAGTACCATCTTATGTTCAAAATGCAAAGTACTTATGGCAGAATAAAATGTCGGTAGAAATTTGGAATGAACTAGAAGATAAATTAAGGAAAGCGGAAGTTAGCTTCATCATCATTCAGCTGTTTAAAAAAAGGTAAAAAACAGCCTTGACTCCAGCTTATCTTTTGACATTGATTAGTCCTCGGGAATGAAAATATAACCTGACATCTGAAGAAACTCGTCCTGCACTAGAGTTTGCAAATGAAATGTATTCAAATACCGAATTTCTGGCACTTCACAACTTCAAAATAAATCTCTGCCATTTAGAAGTGTAGGTAATGGATTCACACGAAATAACTTCAAAAATCAGTCCAACATTTTAATAGATAAATAGATATGAGGGATATGTGGTATATATTATATCTTTTACAATTATTTTTCGATCTATTAAAGTATATAAACGTTACAACAGCAAGTGTAATTTTGTACTTATTTGATGAATAGATATAGCGTATATTTGGTATAGGAATACTTTTTTTATAGCTTTATAGGAAACCTTTTTATAATTTTTGCAGTTATCTTTCGATTTATGATAAGTTTTTAAACAAGTTGATTTTTTTAATTTAAATCCATAAAAGAAGGGATAATATTGCAGCAGAATATAAAAATAGAAGGAAAGAACCACGGTTACCGGATAGGCAAAACCACAGACAAGTGTTTTTGGCTTGTTACTCTGCTAACCCCCGGTATTTTCAGGTACAGATTGCGCGTTATAATCCGCCAGATATATTTTATTTGACGGATAGCAGAAAAACATTAATAGGTAAAAAATTGTGTGGAGATTCGTTATTCGTTTCAAAAACTGAAATCCGCCTAGAGAAATGAAGCATTAAAATTGTTACGCTATTTTAACAATATGGTCAATATTTTAATAACGGCAATATTAAAAAGGCGTGATTATTAAAGTGCGGTAAACCCTAATTAAATTTACCTTTATTTTAATCGTAGAATAGTATATAGTGTGTTCCGTTTAAATTGTAGTTGTAGTAGTCCTCCAACAATCCCATCATTCACAGTTTCTAAAAATCTAATCGTGTGGCTACAATACTCCGTGTCCAATGAGGTGAATAGCCCTGTATGCTCTGCTGTTTCAGGATCTTTATTGCAGAGTCGGCAACAAAGACTTCCTTGATGCAGGTTGAGCTTGTTCAGGTAGCACTTGACAGCCATATGTCCTGTCAAGAGACCTATTGTAATCTGTACTTTATCCCTGCTGGGCATTTGCAGTTCCTTTGTAGTTTTATAATTAGATTCTTGGATGAAGGCCTGGACATTTTGCTTTTCCATGATCCAAAGTTTACTTTACTACGGGTTAGATATTTGAGTATTTCCAGTACTGACTCTGGACCAAAATGAATCTAGATAAACTCATATTTATAGTATTCTTTTACTTACTTTTTGCTTGTTATTTTATTTTTATTTTGTTTTCCAGGTGATCATGCAGTTACAGCACCTTTGGCCATGGGACGTAGAGGTGGTTTTCCAGGCGGGGCAGGTGATCCAGGTGGTATTCTATCTCCTAGAGGATCAGACGGTCCTGGAGGATTGGGTGTCAAAATGGTAAGCTTACTTCTTATTTACGATACTGATTTTTTGCCGGGAAGAATATTATAACTTGTGGGGTCTAATAGTGTGTTTATAGAGTGTCTGCAATGATATTAATATGGTATTACCGTCAAATTTAGGTGGAGTACGTGCTGGGTACTTCTCCGACAGGCGACAAAAGCGGTCAGGTCGTACCTGTGGGTTTGGAACCACGCATGCGCGCACTACATTTGGACGACAAAGATCAAAAAGACGGCGGCAAAAGCCAGCAGAGCCCCAAAGACGGACAGGACCAGGGAGTGAATGGTCAAGTTGCACAGCAGCAAGTTAACGGGCAAGATGATGACAAAGGCTTCAAGTAAGTACAGAAAGAAACATTTCACTTGATTGCAAATTCATTTGATTGTGGAAAAAATGGTCAAAATAATGGATTAATAATTATTAATAATGCATTAATTTCGTCTCTAGAAAGATATGGTAAAGTCAATTAGACAGCGATAGTTTTCTCCAGATTATGTTATTTCAAATTATCAATAAATAGTTCGTTGAAGTCTCACCTAATTATTTTTATTCGCTGAGTAAAGTACGTCTACTGGATTTGTGTCTATGAAAGGAATTTCAAGAAGGCATACACAGTATTGGGGTATGATCAATTTACCCCAAATCACATTTAAATAAACAGCAATATATTTAGCTACCTATACAGGGTGGTCCGAATTGTATTCCGGAAACTTCGGCAGCATATTCTACAGATAAAAATAGGTAAAAAAGTTCGTATAAATGTATGTCCTAAACTGCTTAGTTTCGGAGATACAGGGTGTAGAAATTTCATTTATATTTCGATTTTTTCCAAATAATTTCTAAGTAACTGAAAGTAACGTCAATATTTAGATGAAAATTGGTGTTTGGGAGTTTTTTGATATGAGAAATTTGATTTTGATGTCAGTATCACTCCTACTGGTAGAGGGCGCCACCTACATGTGTTTTAACTGTTTTGAAGCGTAATAATCATTTCAAATTTATGATCTCAGTCTAATAAATATTTAGTTAACATGTTTACTTTATGCCAGTGATGACAGGTATTGATTATTTCGTTTTAAAATATCACCGAAAACCATTACTCGTAGCGATTTTTACCAAGAGACCTTTTACAGCGTAAAGGTATCAACAAATATATATTTTTACTCAGTAGTTTTATGCAGGTACCGGACAAAAAGTTATTACTCTTCGAACCCAGTTAAAAAATATGTAAGGTGGCACCCTCTACCAGTAGGAGTCATATTGACATCAAAATCCAATTCCTCATGTCAAAAAACTCCCAGACACCAATTTTCATCCAAGTATTGACGTTACTTCAAAAATTATTTGGAAAAAATCGAAATAAAAATGAAACTTCTACACCCTGTATCTCCGAAACTAAGCATTTTTGGACATATATTTATACGAACTTTTTTACTTATTTTTATCTGCAGAATATGCCGCCGAAGTTTCCGGAATACAGTTCGGACCACCCTGTATACACGCAGCAGAGAGTCCACTTGACGAGTGTCAAGTGGACTCTCTTGACAAATGTTATCGCGAAACTCATTACATTGGCTGCATGCAAATTTGTCTTATTTTTATTGACGCAGCGACGATTTTTTACGAGAAAGATCGATTAAAACGGTAGTAGACCGAGCTTGGAGAGTAGTACAGTCGTTATCGGTAAAATAAATGAAAAATAAATCTTGATTTTCTAATTTTATAAAGATTATGTCTTATGATGTGTTATTTAAAATATTTTAGCCCATGAATTGATTGCTAACAGAGAATTCTGTTTCGCTCTTACGGATGCCCCGTAGCTGCAGATATCGACGTACTGTTGTCGAGGAATTTTCGGTGCCCAACGTGTGGCACTAGCCGCGAAAAAAACTTCAATTTGATATTAAGTTTGTTCCAACACAGATATTTGTATCGTTCTAGAACGGTTATTGGGATTACCAGCATTGGATGAGATATTTTTAGCCTGTAGTTAAGTTAGGTTAGGTTTATAGAAGAAGTTAGGTCTTAGCGTTATCTATCAAGCTCGACTAATACACACATTAAATAATTGAAATTGAATTTAATTATTTGAATAAGTTTACTGAGAATTTTAATTCATTATAGGAGATCTCAGTGATTTTTTTAAATAAAAACGTATTACAATATTTTGAATAGATGCGACGCATCACCCGCATCAATGTCCTCTTCGTCAATTAATATCTGCTCTTCTCTTCGTCACACTCATCATATTTAGTACAAAAAGAATCTTATTAGATTTTCTTTTGATGTATTTTATGATGTGAAGAGATTTCCTCATCGTCTTTCCTAGTAAACCAGTATGATTTATTTATACCAAGATAATTACAGACGTACTTTAACATATCTATAAATCTATTTTAAACGAAAAGATTCACATATACAATAAATTTGGTGAAAGCCCAAAACAAAGCATTATGATTTCCTTATGATTATTTGATATCCAGAAATAAATTAAGACGAAAATACATGTTGAATATTCATATTTTAAAGCGTATTATTAATGACAATGATTCTTCCTAGCCCTAATATATTATTACTGCACAAGAAGTGAAAGTTTACTTGATTATAGTTTTCAAAACTTAGCGACATTAAATTAGCTGCTAGTTACTGCCTACATAACTTAATTTTATGGTGTAAATCCTCATTCGGAACCTCTAAATTAGTGGAATAAATTAGTTGTTTCAATTTTAGTTTATACTTATGAGTTTACGTTCATTCACAATGTCGGAAAATACAATTAAAATTAATAGAATATCCGAGCAACAACTTGCGGTAGAAAGCCTAATAATTAGCTTGTAAAACAATAAACTCTTCAATACCATACATACGAGGAGTTTCAAGGAAAGGAGGATAGGAAAACAATATAACATACGAACATCTTTCAAAACACAAAATACACTTAGATCCATTTTATCACTTACTGAACCAATGAATACAAAACAACAAACAAAAAATGTAATATATCAAATACCATGTGAATGCGATAAATTTTATTATTTTGGTGAAACATCTAGACCCTTAAATGTTCGAATTAAAGAACATAAAGATTATTTAAGAAAGGGAGATTTTCACAAATCTAAGATTTGTCAGCATTCATGGGACACAGGGCACAGAATAAATTTTAATAACGCCAAAATTATAATGAAAGAAGCGATAGCCTCTAAAAGAAAAATAAAAGATGTTTTTTTAATACAATCTAATAAAAATAAATGTATTGCTCATGCATCTGTAGATGTTAGTAATGTATGGCAATCGCTTTTTTGATTTTAAAGAACATAACATAAATAAACATAACATACGTAAAAATTAAAAATAATCATACTAGAAAGTTTGGGGCTTTTTGGTTTTACCTTATTAAGTAATTGTTATCAGGTAGTAATTGTTAATTTTGAAGTTTAACTTGATATAATGTCATTTTAACAGAACGTAAACGGTTTTTAGACGCATCTGTTTAAAAAAAAAACTAAAATGTTCTCGAATAGTTGAATTTAAATAGTTTTAAATAGTTTTTTTTCTTTATTCTTTGTATTTTTTTGCTTCAGACGACGGATAGAGATAAACTTTCCGAAACGTTAAGCATTTTTTTGTTCGTTAGGCAAATTTGTATATATTTAAACCTAACTTCTGACAAGTAGTTTCCGTTTGGGATTAACGCAGTGTTTACATAAAATAACTATTTTATTTTGTAGATTTTCTTGCAGTGGTGAAAACCCCATATAGGATTTTTTTGGAGAGATGAATCCGACACATAGGTATAGACATTTTTTAATAAACTCTTCATTTCTAACCACAATTTCTCTTGACGGATGTTCAATATAACATTACTCCTAAATTTTGAAGTATAATTAGTGGCAAAAGTTAAAAGTTTGTTGACTTTTTCTACTAATTGAAAATTACAGGAGAGGAACAAACTTCTACGCTAATTGAAACCACTAATTTTTTTCAGTAATTTCGAGGTTCTTAATGAAACTTTAGTAGGCAAAGTCATTGAATTCTTTTTTGTATTTATACAGCCTGTAAACAAATATTTTTAAAATTAATTTATATAGGTAATAATTCTTTTAAAACCAACTATTATTAAAATTTGGGAAGAAAAATAATCAAGTCTTCTAGACAGGAACAAAAAAAAACAATTAATTAGTGAGATTGATTTTTCATTTAAAATTAAACAGGCTTATAAAGATTTTGAAAGTGAAATAATTTATCAAGAGTCTAAAACTCTCTTAGAAATACTGTAGGAAAAAATGCAATTATGCATTTAGTTTTGAGGTTCTTAATAAGAGAATTTTTTTCTTTAAAACATACAGATCGCAAGACACGTGACCAAATTTCGGGGTTTGATTTCTCATCAAAAAATATGGAAAACAGTTTCTGTGTTATTTTAAATACCATTATTTTTCTTAGTTTGATGTAAGTAGTAGCGCTGAACATACAAGGTGTTCCTGTATAAGGTCAAATCATGGCAAAATTTCGTAATTTTATGTTGTAAAAAATGACAGAAATATTATGAAAAGCAATTTTTCTTAATGACACCGGCATTTCAAATCAGGCGCCAATAATTACAGACTCATTTCCTCATTAGAGCGGAGCAATAAATCGCAACATTACCAGAAAACCGTGAAGCTTCTTCCCTTCAGAGAAAGTCTATTAGGAATGTCTGTTTCATGGAAAAAATCGATATGGTTTCGTGAAAACAAGTGAGTTTTTATTGTTGATAGAGTTAGAATCTGTCTTAAAGGAGACAAAACTATTTACATTTTATCCCCATCATATTGTTTTCGAGAAAAAGCGATGATGTCAAATTTTTGCGGATTGCGTTAGATCTGCGGCTTGTGTTTGAAAACAAAGTAAAGGGATATGTATGTTTGTTGTTATTAATGTTTTTTTGGGTACCTATAGAAACGGCATACTAAATATAATACGAGTATAATAAGTAGGTATATTATTTTAGTTAAAATGCATTAGATTATACTTTTGAAATTATTTATTGTTTTCTAATTGTGTATGAATTAAATTAAAATTTATTAGGGAACTTATTAACTGTGACAACGTTGCTCCAGGAAGACTGTTTGGTTTCTATGTCTGTCGCAAACTTTTGACGCTTTCATTCAATTTATGTATGTGTTGCTGTGCCGTGTTTGTAAACTTTTATTTTTAAGTAATTTTTAGCGTTTTTCTTTGCAAAAGAACTGTTTAAAATATTTTTAAATATCTAAGATGGTTGTCAGTGCATAGTTTGCAAATAGGTGGTCCCAAACTGATATTTCGGCTGTAAGTGACCTTACTTATTTTTTAGAT